ACCCCCATTATAATTACATTTCCCTTTTTTTTGGGGTTGGTAAAAAAAAAAAAAAAAAAATTTAAAACATGATATAGCAGTACACATACTGGACCAGACTTCTTTTTTTCAATAAGCCCAAGTTTAAGATTTTCATTAAATACATATAGTGGAACCTCAAATTTCAAACATATCATTTATCGAACTCTTCGAAAATCAGACGCTTTTTTCGAACCAACTTTGTCCCTATTATCGAACTTGCCCCTATTTTCGAACCGCCAGGTACCGGACCTGTCCGGCAGTCCGCTCTGTCATCGTCCCCATGCAGGCGCCGTGAGTCAGTCTGGTTTTGCTGATGCTTGAGTGAACACTAACCTGCGGTCTCATTCAAACATTTTACGATTATTTCATTGTGTTTAGTGATTGTGGGACTATGAAATAAGCTACCATAGGCCCAAAGAAACTTGCTAGTGGTACCCCTTCAGTAAAGAAAGTGAGAAACACCATAGATGTGAAGAAGGATATAATACAGAAGTATGAGAGTGGTGTGAGACTTGTTGAGCTTGCCAGGATGTATGGGAAAAACAAGTCAGCCATCGGTTCTATCATGGCAAAGAAAGAACAAATCAAGGAAGCTGATGTTGCGAAAGGTGTTAATATGCTAACCTAAAAAAGACCACAGACAATCAATTAGGTTGAGAAGTTGTTGCTAGTGTGGATCAAGGATAAAGAGATGGCAGGTGATAGTGTTGCAGAGACCATTATTTGCAAAAAGGCAAGGAAGTTGAATGCTGATCTGGTACAGAAATCTCCTGGAACCAATGCTGATAGTGAATTTAAGGCCAGCAGAGGCTGGTTTGACAGAGAAGGGAAGTAATCCCAGAGAGGGCTTTGATACCTGAAGTCCTTATGGTGGGGGATTCTCCTTCCAAACACTAACCCCAACTCCCTCTCTCCTCCTCCCTATCTTCCAGATGCCATCACCAATCTTCAATAAAGTCAAGTAAAAATGTTATTTGATATGTTTATTTACATTTATTAATACATAATTGAACACTATATTTGTTGTATGTAAAACTGTAATTAATTTCTATAAAATGTATTTTTTTTGTGAATATTTTTGGGTTTCTGGAACGGTTTAATTGTATTTCCATTATTTCTTACGGAAATATTGCTTCGCTTTTCAGACTTTCGAATTTAGAACTTACTCTTGGAATGTATTAAGTTCGATATTTGAGGTTCCACTGTACAGTGGACCCTCGAGTTTCGGCAGCATCGACTTTCGTGAAATCCGACTTTTGGCAAGTTTTTTCGGCAAAATTTGGCCTCGCGGTTTGTGATTAGACTCGTGATTCGGCGACCGTCCGGTAGCCGTCCGCCCGTCACCGTGCACACAAAGCCAGTCTCCCACACCATTCACGCTCAGTGTGCCATTGTTTACCAACACGTGACCATCACCCCGCGGGTTCATACGTATTAATCCATTGTTTTTTGTGATGGCAACTGCTAAATAAGTCACCATGGGCCCAAGGAAAGCTAGTGCAAGCCCTTTGGTAAAGAAAGTGAGGAACACGATTGAATTCAAGAAGGAAATCATTGAAGAATATGAGAGTGGAGTGCGTGTTACAGAGCTTGCCAGGATGTATGGCAAACCCCATTCAACCATCACTTCGATCGTGGCGAAAGAAAGGAAATAAAGTGTGCTGTTGTTGCAAAAGGGGTAGATATGCTGACAAAAAGGAGATCACAAATCCTCGAAGAAGTGGAGAGGTTATTGTTGGTGTGGATTACCAAAAAACAGTTAGCAGGAGATAGTGTTACGCAGTCGATAATATGTGAAAAGGCAAGGCAGTTGCATGACGATCTTGTAAAGAAAATGCCTGCAACAAGTGATGATGCTTGTGATTTTAAGGCCAGCAAAGGTTGGTTTAGAGATTTAAGAAGCGTAGTGGCATTCACAGCATGATAAGGCATGGTGAGGCTGCCAGTTCTGACAAAATTGCAGCTGAGAAGTTTGTACAGGAGTTTAAGGAGTGCGTAGACACTGGGGAATTCAAACCCCAACAAGTGTGTAATTGTGACGAAACAGGCCTCTTTTGGGAGAAAATGCCAAAGAGGACCACATCACGCAGGGGGAAAACGGCACTCCCAGGACACAAGCCTATGAAGGAAGGCTTACCCCTCATGTTTTGTAGTAATGCTAGTGGGGATTTTGAAGTGGGAAGCCCTTTACTGGTGTATCACTCTGAAAATCCCAGTGTGTTCAAGAAAAACAGTGTCGCCAAGAGTAATTTGTGTGATGTGGAAGGCTAACAGTAAGGCATGGGTCACAAGGGATATTTTCCTAGACTGGTTTTAAAGAAGTGTTTGGCCCCAGTGTGAAGAAATACCTCCTGGAAATAAACTGTCACTCAAGTGCCTCCTGGTAATGGACAATGCTCCTGCTCATCCTCCAGACTTGGAAGAGCAAATAGTGGAGGAGTTTTAGTTTCATCACGGTGAAGTTCTTGCCCCCTAAAACAACTCCTCTCCTCCAGCCCATGGACCAGCAGGTCATTTCAAAATTCAAAAAACTCTACACAAAAGAGTGCTTCAAAAGTGCTTTGAAGTGACCTCAGACACAGAATTGACCCTAAGAGAGTTCGGGGAAAGATCACTTTAATATCCTCCATTGCATAAACCTTATGGTAAGTCTTGGGAGGGAGTGACTTCCAGGAATTTGAACTCTGCTTGGAGAAAATGTGGCCAGAATGTGTAAAAGAGAGGGATTTTTGAAGGGTTTTGGGGCTGACCCTTTAGGAGCCTATGCCGTTGTGGAATCTATTTGGCATTGGGGATGTCCCTGGGGTTGGAGGTGAGTGGTGAGGATGTCGAAAAATTGGGAGGACCACAGGGAAGAGCTAACCACTGAAGACGCAAAGCTTCCCGCAACAGCAACAGATCACAGCTCAGAAACGCTCCCAGAGGAGGAGGAGGAGGAGGAAGAGAGATGGAGGAAGGTGCTTCTTCAAAGATTAAGGAGATTTGTGCAAAGTGGACTGAAGTGCAAACATTTATGGATGAACTTCACCCTAACAAAGCTGTTGCAGGCTGTATTGGCAACATGTACAATGACAGTGTTGTGCCCCACTTCAGACAAATCTTAAAGAAATGCCAGAAACAGAGTCTCCTGGACAGATATTTTGTGCGACAGGATTCCAGTGACTCTCAAGTTGTTCCCAGAGCCAGTACCTTTAAAAAACAAAGAAGGGAAGTAACCCCAGATAAGGACTTTATACCTGAAGTCCTAATGGAAGGAGATTCTCCTTCCAAACAATAGTGTACACCTTCCTCCTATCCCCTCCTCCCGTCTTCCATCCACCCAGAAGTCTTCAGTAAAGGTAAGTGTAATGTTATTATTATTTTTTATATGCATGTGCTTGATTTCTCATTGTTTTCAGTATGTAAATCTTCATTTAATTTGAAAAAAAAAATATTTTATTTTAATATTTTTGGGTGTCTGGAATGGATTAATTTTATTTCCATTATTTCTTATGGGGAAAATAGTTTCGCCATTCGGCAATTTCGACTTTCGGCAGGCTCTCTGGAACGGATTAATCACGAAACTCAGGGGTCCACTGTATATGAATTATTTTAAAGTCTCTTAATTCCAATAAAAACAAAATTATCAATGAATTTACAAATCATAACCCCCCATAAAAAAATACAAATACATATTATTACTAACTGTAATAGGCTAAAGACAAGATAAATGAGAAGTAATAGAAGTACTTACCACTAAGGTGACACAGTTGGGTGATGCCTTGATAAGCTCAATAATTTCATCCCTTATTTTATTTTCTACACTAATACCATTCACTTGCAAGAGCCGATCACCAGGAAGCAGCCCAGTTACATTGGCGCGGCCTACAGCTCCTGGCTCAGCAAACACAATAGTACGCCGTGTTTCTGTGTTATCAGGGCTACGTTCGACAACCTGTGCTCTTCTCAGAGAAAATCCGAAGTCCCCAGCTGGTGATCGATCGATAGTAAGGGTGCGTGGTGCTGGTGGCTGAGCAGGTACTAAGGCAGGAAGTCTCAAGTCAGCAGCAAATGTTTTGGTATGATGATGGCCAACACTCTCACCCACAGGTATAGGACTAGTGGGAGTGGCTGGAGGGCTTTTAGGATGCTCAAACGCATCTACAGGACTACGCTCCACCACCACTTTTGGATGAGGTTGTCGCAAAGGACTCATTAGCTGCTGAGGGGGACTGCGAGGACTTATAGGACCAGACCCATTGGACACTCGTCTTGCACTAGTTAAGGATGTAACAGACGATCTCTGTGCTTCTACCATCTCTCGTTCTTGACGGAGATTTTCATACATAATAAGTTCATTTTGCATTGTATTTTCTAAGAGGTTACCTTCATCATCTATGTCTCCTTTAACACCATGGTATTCTGTATTCTCTAAATCCATTTTCCCTTTCAAGATTCCACGTTTTGGAGGTCTAGGTGGCAGTCCAATGCCTGAACGAAGTGAAATTCCATCACTACTAGAATCACTGTGGAGGCTTGAAGCTGATGCCATAGCTTCATATCGCTCTCGAAGCTCTTTAAAAGTACCAGCAGAAGTTAGATCTACTTCTGACTGATCATTACCTAGCCCTGATCTGAACTGTTCCATGTAATCAGCAGTAATGCCGCTAGGTAGTTTGTCATCTTTCTTTTTACGTCCCTTGCCTATGAGGCTGCGTCTCGCTTCGTCCAACCTCTTGAGTTCATCTAGAGTAAGTGTGGCCCGATCTTTGGAACGTTTTGATTCTTTCCTGTCTTTTTTATCTTTTTTCTTCTTCTTCTCATCCTCCTTGTCCTTATCTTTTTTCATAAACCCAAACATCTTGTCAAGTCACTATGCACAAATTTCTGAAAGCAAGAAAAAGAAATTTTTTAATGCCATTTTCTTTATATTAGATAATTTATCTAAATTAAAAAAATATATACAAGAATAGTACAGATTATGCACAGATATAGATCCCCAATTGGGTAAGTTTACCAGAAAAATGACTTACATACACAGATTGCAAAGTAAACTGTTTTGTAAGAAGTATTTTTAAATATTAGTTACACAGTCATTATATAGTGTACCATGGTCAACAATTCGCAAACAGGCAAAATTATTTAAAAACAGTCTCTACATCCACAGCAGGACTTGAACCTGCAAACTCTGTATCAGAGTCCACAGTACTTTACCATGGAGTCAGGTTCCGTGGTAAAGTACTGTAGACTCTGATACAGAATTTGCAGGTTCGAGTCCTGCTGTGGACGTAGAGACAATGTTTATAGTGTACCATGTATCTTGGCACTGTCTTAATTTTCTATGTTAGACTAGGTTGATCTACAGCTCTTGAGCCTTCTGAGGGTGTTAATATACTGGCAAAGAGTGAGCTCAAGTTCTAAGGCCTCTTGAAGGTGTTGGTTTCCAGCTCCTAAGCATCTTGGAAGAGTTGAACTATACCTACTAGGTCTCTTAGGGGAAATTTAGCTGCAGCTTCTCTGACTCTTAAAGGTTTTGAAGTATAACTATTACACTTTTTGCATGCAATGAGGTACAGAAAGCTGGGGCTATGGGACATGGAGGATATCTTGCTCAGATTGTGCAGCAACCAAAACACATGTTACATTCATCTTAACACTAAATGGTACTGAGGAAATGAAAGCTATCCACTTGAAGATACTGTATATAGAGCTAAGCTAATGCTGCATTGTTTTCAGAATTTAGTCTAGAGGTTGTAGTACATGTTACCTCTTTTTGCAGCCCATTCTGCTGACCTACCACAGTGATATGGTCTGGTGCAGTGAATAAGTTCACAGGTTTTTCAGGAAATTGTTGATCTGGCAAGTTGAGTGCACTAGCTTTGAGGAGATGAAGCCAGACGTGAATGAACTTTTAACCCTTTGACTGTTTCGGCGGTATGTACACGTCTTACGAGCCAGTGTTTCGGACGTATATGTACTCAATAATTCTAGCGGCTTCAAATCAAGCAGGAGAAAGCTGGTAGGCTCACATGTGACAGAATGGGTCTGTGTGGTCAGTGTGCATTGTATAAAAAAATCCTGCAGCACGCAGTGCATAATGAGAAAAAAAAACTCCGACTGTGTTTTTGGATTAACCCTTTCAGGGTCCGTCCCGTAGATCTACGGCTTTACGTTCAGGGTCCAAACCGTAGATCTACGCCATGAGCTCAGCTCACTCTGATAAACTGTGAGTGGTACATTTGGGCCTAGATATGAGAGAATACATCTATGTGGTATGTGTGCACCACATAAAACAGATCCTGCAGCACACTGTGTATAATGAGAGAAAAAAAAATGAAATCATGATTTTTCGATTAAAACAGCAACTTTGCAGTGTTTTTTCGTATGTTTTTTATAGTTGTATTTGCGATTTCTTGGTCTCATTTGATAGAATGGAAGACATATTACAGAAATAGAGATGATTTTGATTGGTTTTAGTATTGAAAATGGCTTGAAACTGAGCTCAAAGTAGCGGAAATGTTAAATTTTTGCCGATATTCAAGAGTAAACAAACGACCTCAAACGTCTAATACACATCAGCTGGTGGGTCTAATATACATTCACAAATATGGTGATGATATTTATACAATTATTACAGTATTGCATAACAGTAAATCTTCTATTTTTTGGTGTGAATAAAAATTCATTATGTGAATAAAAACCCAAAAGGGAATTTATTTGTAAAGCCTCAAAACATAACTAATGAACAGAGGAAATGTTAGTTAGTGCCAGGAATGCCTACATTGTTCATTCTGGACCCTATTTTGAAATTGGAATATTTTGAACTTTGTGTTAAATTGGCCAAATTAACAATTTCCGATCACTTTATTTTGTAGTTGAAACAGTTGACTTGGCGATTTCTTGTGCTCAATCGATAGAAGTAATACTAGTGAAATAGCTAAGAATTTGGTTGATTGGAATAATGTAATTGGCCTAAAATGGGAGTCAAAGTCGGCAAAATCGCCGATTCGTAAATATCGCTGACACATCAAAATTCGCGAGAGCATAATTTCGTAAATTTTCCACCAAATTTCGTACTTTTTGTTTTATTACCTACACAAAAAGATTCTCTACGATTTCATAAGAAAAAATAACAAATTTTTTTTTGGAAAATTCTTGGACACTGGTGCGTGACTCCAGATTTGGGCCTTGGACCCTGAAAGGGTTAAAACGCCGACTTTGAGGTGTATTTTCGTATAGTATTTATGGTTGTATTCTCGTTTTCTTGGTCTCAATTGATAGAATGGAAAACATATTACAGATGTGGAGATGATTTTGATTAGTTTCACGATGAAAACGACCTTGAAATTGAGCTCAAAGTAGCAGAAATGTTCGATTTTTACCAATGTTCAAGAGTAAGAATTACACCACACGTCCAATACAGGTCAACTGGGGAGTCTAATATTCTTTCACTAGTGAACTGATATTATTTATACCATTTTTACAATAATGCGGTAGTCTGCATAACAGTAAATCTTCTATTTTTTGTGTGAATAAAAAATCAAAACATAAAGCAAGAGTAATATAAGAGGGGCCTGGAGACGTGAGTTATGAACAGAGGAGATGTTATTTTAGTGCCAAGAATGTCTGCACTGTTTATTCTGGACCCTATTTTGAAACTGGCATCTTTTTTAATTTGCGAGAACTTGGCCAATTGCCAATTTCTGACCACTTAACTGGGTATTTGAAATTGGTAAATGAGCGGTTTCTTGTACTCAATTGATAGAAAAAATGGAGTTCTAAAGAAATAGCTATGAGTTTGGTCGACTGGAACAATGGAATTGGCCAAAAATAGGGCTCAAAGTCGGCGAAATCGCCGATGCATATATATCACCGAGATCGCTAATTTCGTGGGAGCGTAATTCCATAAGTTTTCAATCCAATTTAGTACTTTTGGTGTCATTACCATCGGGAAAAGAGTCTCTATCATTTCATAAGAAAAAATTATTTTTTTTTTCCAAAAATTTTGCGACGTAGAATGACGGTTTCAGAAATGGGCTTGCGACAGTCAAAGGGTTAAACGATGGTGATGATAAACAAACACTTGAGAAATTGTTGGAGGACCTGAATTGCCAGATAGAAGGGAGGGAGAAAACAGAAGAGGATGAAGAAGGTGAACTGGAAGTAAAACAGTTGACAATCTAGGACCTACATGTACCAGTAACTTACAGAAATTTTCACTGATTAAGACCCTCACTAATGCATTGTGAAGTAGGCTATGAAACAGGCAATGAAGCCTTATTAGATGTGTAAAGTTAGACTGGGAAAAACAGAGCAGAAAAGAATTCCTAGGACTCCAGCATGTTAGAACTTTGCATCAACCTCAGCCTATTACACACAGCCATCCACCTTGTTGCATGACCCACAACCATCCACCTTGTTGGATGACCCACAGCCATCTGCCTTACTGCATGACCCACAATCATCTACCTTGTTGCATGACCCACAATCATCTACCTTGTTACGTGACCCACAGTCATCCACCTCATCACACAACCCACAGTCATCCACCTCATCACACAACCCACAGTTATCCACTGTGGCATGCAAAGAGTACGTAACCTTTATTCGGCGCATGGACACACCCTCATTTACAGGCTATCTCCCCCAACCAGCGAACCAGGTTGCTAAGAGTTGATGATGGGGCCCCATCGTTCAACTAGTGACCAGGTTCTAGCCAATAAGAAGGTGGGATTGACAATCGCAGAGGTTATGTGGATACCGCTCTCCTGTCTGCCCTTGTCATTCCCATTCTAGAGCTGGTTGAAGCACGGTCTGCTTTCTTGTGGCTTCTATTTCTGCCTTGCTTACCGTGACGTGCACTATATTTATTACTGTACATAGTGTACATATTGCTGTTCTAAATTTGGTGAAGGATAATATAAGTCTAAACTTTTTCTACTGTGTTTATTTGCTCCCATTACACCTGGGTTAACAGGCCATTTGAAAGCCTAGGTTGTAATATCCACCTTATCACACAACCTATAGCCATCCACCTTGTCACACAATCCACATCCATCCACCTCAACACAACCCACAGCCATCCAACCTCATCACAACCCACAGCCATCCACCTTGGTGGTGGTGTTAGGTCAAAAAGCAATATCATACACAATCTATTTTGTCAAAATCTACAATATTTTTGACAAAATAAACATAAAATTTGTCTTTCTTATTTTTGGAGGCATCATGAACCTAACCCTATTATTTCCATGTATTTTTCGTATCACACAGTGTAAAATTACATAAAGTGCCAATTTCAGGAATGCAATTGCTGCATTAACCCGTAAACGGTCCAAACATATATATATGTTTTTTCAACATTTGAAAGTATGTAAAAAAAGTAGATCTTCTTTTTGTTTTTTTACATTTGAAAATTTGTAAAAAAACTTTGATCTACTTTTCTTTTTTTTTGTTATATTTGAAAATATGTAAAAAAAACGTAGATCTACTTTTGTAGCACTACACATGTGAAAGTAGATCTGCTTGGACCGTTTACGGGTTAAGTGAGGCCTGCCTGTATCTTCCTGGATGACAACCAATACATTCTCTTGATATTAACAAGACCTTCTATGTGATGTTTGAGAAATGAGATAAAAATATACAATTAGTTATAATGAGTGAATCATTTATCATCATAAGACAAAATGAGGAAAAAAATCTTAGTTCTATTCCCTGACACCAATTTAAATCCAATAGTCACATTCAACAGACATCCAAGGTCTCCAAAACAGTATGCATCCTTTCTAAGATACTTTACCATGTGTGTCCTATACAACAATACCTATTCTATACTACTTTCTAATTTATCTTTACTTCACCTGTGGTATTTGTGCCTGGAGATCTAC